CGCCTGTAATCCTAGCTCTCTGGGAGGCCGAGGCAGGCGGATTGCTCGAGGTCAGGAGTTCAAAACCAGCCTGAGCAAGAGCAAGACCCCGTCCTACTATAAATAGAAAGAAATTAATTGGCCAACTGATAGATATATATAAAAATATAGCGGTGGCAGGCACATGCTGTTAGTCCCAGCTACTCGGAGCTTGAGCCTAGGAGTTGAGGGTTGCTGTGAGCTAGGCTGACGCCACGCACTCACTCTAGCCTGGAAACAAAGTGGAGACTCTGTCTAAAAAAAAAAAAAAATATATTATAGTATATATATATATTAATATATATATATGATATATATTTAACGCCAAGCAAAGAAAAACAGTAATATCTTATTACTTAAGCACTTGAATATTATCTCACTACTTGTCTAATAAATATACACAGACTATTTAAATCAGGCATTGCTAAAAAAGGGAGGTTGATTATGTGTATGTGATGATTAACTTTGCTTCTGATTGTTCTGAAACTAGGAAAATGATTGGGGTTATAGTCACAGTTATTGTTTTAGGAAATGAGACTAAGATTCAAAAAAATAATAAAGATCTCAAAGGTTGATGGCAACCCTAACCTAGATTCTCAAAACTTTATAATTTCTCTGCTGATTCCTTTTAGAATGAAAAGAGGAATAGAGTTAATATTTGGATGATTATGATGATTTTTGTTTTGTGATGGAAACAGACACCTCAATAATAGCATTGATGTTGCTGTTATCAGGCTGGTTTCGAACTCCTGACCTTGAGCAATCCGCCCGCCTCGGCCTCCCAAGAGCTAGGATTACAGGCGTGAGCCACAGCGCCCGGCCTGGTATTCAAGTCTTTTTTTGAACTTTTTTTAAAAAATATATTCTGGATACAAATCTTTTTGTTATGTTACATGTATTATGAAAATCTCTTGAGATGTGGCTTGCCTTTTTATTCTCAAGTGATGTCTTGAACAGAAATCTGAATTTTTAATAAAGTCCAATTTATGAATCTTTTATAGTGTTTTTTAGTCCAATTTAAGAAATATTTGCCTATCTCATGATCATAAAGATATTTCACCTGTGTTTTCTTCTACCAGTTTGATTGTTTTAGCTTTCTCATTCATGCCCATCCCAAATTAATTTTTGTGTATGCTATGAAGTAGGGAACAAGGATCTTCCTTTTCCATACCAATATCCAATTAACCTTCTTGGTATGTGACGGGGGTGGCAGGAGGGCAGGCCCCTCATTGGGAATCATGACCTGAGTGAGCCATGATGTGATGGGACGGGTGGGACCAAAGTGTCCCCCAGGTGCATGGGGGCCTTTGCTACCTCCTGCACACAGCTTCTGCCCACCCCACTCCATAAACTTTCTCTAACAGTTCCACACTCGTCTCTCACTTGCTAAATACAGGTCTCTTCTTGGTCTTCCCCGCTCCATGTCATGGTAGCGCCTTTCACTATCATGCTACATCTTTCTAGTCATTTTCACTCCCTTGCAGCTCTGCTCTGGTTCTCCAGTTACTTTTCAAAGGGCCCTTTCTCAGCCTCCTCCACTGGCTCCTCTACCCCCAGAATGTACTGTGTTCCTCAGCATCCTAGCTGTGTCCTCTGTTTGGTTTTTTGTAAGTTTATTGTCACATAAAAAAGTAAATACAGATCTCAGTCTGGGAGATTCCAAAACTGAAAGTGGTTAGCAGCTCAGAGGTGGGCTGTCACTGGCTGGCTTACACATTGAAAATGGAGCAGCTGTTTAATCTTTACAGGGATTGGTTATTCAGGAAGCTTCCAATCCTGGTGGAAGGCAAAGTCCGTGGAGTAGACGTAACACATGGAAAGAGAAGGAGCAGGAGACAGAGAGGGGTGCCAGGCTCTTTAACAACCAGCTCTGGCTGAAACTAATAGAGTGAGAACTCATGCACTGCCCTGAAGAGGGCACCAAGCCATTCATGAGGGATCTGCCCTATCACCCAAACCCTGCCAAGCCTCACCTCCAACATTGGGATCAAATTTCAACACAAGGTTTTGAGGGTAAAATATCCAAACTATAGCACTTTCCAAAAATGGTAAAAATAATTATTTTTAACCAATCCCCTGCTATCTGTTCATTTGAATTTTGAGTGGTCACATCTGTTCCCTGCTGGCTCTCCATAAAACATAAAACTGACACTTTGGGTGTGCTGAGCTCTCCCTGGTGGCAGCTGCTATTATTGCTGGTAATGAAAATAATAGTGAACACCTGTTGAGTACCAACTTTGCTGGTAGGTTTGCTAAGTTTTGTAGGAGGCATACTTAATGAAAATTATTCACTGCTTCTCTGAAATTCAAATTTAACTGGACGCCCTGTATATGTATTTGCTATATTTGGCAGCACTATCTACTTGGCACCCATCCAGGCCCCTCATGTTTATTACCTTATGTACTCCTCACACCAATTCTGTGAGTTAGGTACTATTGTTAACCGCATGGTTAGGCCCCAAGAGTAACCTGCCCAAGATCACCCAGGTCACAAATGATGTCACTAAGTTGAACTCCAGCAGGCTGACTCCAGAGCCCTTGCTTTGAACCATCTCTCAGTACTGGCTCATTCACCACAATAGCTATCGAGAAAATGAGCCCTACCCTTTCTGTCCCAGTGTCCTTTCCTTGCCACAGTGGCAAGAGCAGAGGCAACGCAGATTTGTAAAAGCTTATTAGCTTTCTTCTCCGACAACTTCCACAGCTAGTGAAGTGTGTGGAAATCCTGCAGCCCAAGAGCCTTTCCACCCCCCAGGCTCAGTATGATCTCTTTCTACGCAAGTCTACTGACTGCATCCTTCCTGCTGCGCAGATAACTTCCAGACTCGTGGGGATAGCAAGCTCGGCCATGCATTGCTGCATCACTAATGACCACTTCCTTCCTTTTTCAGTGGCTTGTCTTGCTATAAGGTCGCTACTGTAACAAGAGGGCAATGCCACACTGTTCAGCGTTCCATCCCCTCGGTTGAGCTCCAAATGTGTTTCTCTCTCACCATTTTTTAATAGATACAAAACTCTTAAGCCTCTTAATTTTGTCAGTAAGTCCCTAATGTTTCTCCCCTTAGTTCCTGACCTCACACATTCTGTTCTTACTAACTAAATCTGACACATTTCCATCCTCCAACAGAGTCCATTATTCCTGATCAACAGCACCCAACACCTCAGTGGTTCAACTCTCACCTTCATAGAGACGACTTAAATTAAGATTTCTAAGCCAGCATCTCCTCCAGAACCTCATCCCACATTTCCAGCTGCCTGCCCTCTTCTGCCGCCCTACAGCTGAACACTCATTTCTTTTGACTTTCAATCACATGTAGCAAGTACAAGTGCATTTCCTCAGGGAGCTATTGCAGATGAGAGCACTCAGTAGGATGATGTTGTATAAGGCCCAGTTCATGTACTCAAGATGCTATTCCCAAGGTATCATTGTCATTTATCTTAAGAAAGTTTTTATTAAAATATCCAAGAAGTATATTTTCTCTCAATATAAAAGAAAATACAGCATTTTGGTACAGCAGCTGAGAAAAGCTACAGTTTTTCTAAGGATAGATTTTTATTGATGGACACTTTATAAACAAATGAAGGAAGATCCTGATCCTATATTATATTTCAGGCACTGTACTATACTGAGACAGGGTCTCACTCTGTTGCCCGGGCTGGAGTGCAGTGGTATCACATAGCTCACTGCATCCTCCAACTCCTAGGCTCAAGGCATCCTCCTGCCTCAGCATCCTGAGTAGCTGGAACTACAGGTGTGCCACCATGCTCAGCTTATTTTCTTTTTTAATTTTTGTAGAGATGGAGTCTCACTATGTTGCTTAGGCTGGTCTCAAACTCCTAGCCTCAAGCAGTACTGCCTCAGCCTCCCAAAGTGCCAGGATTACAGGCATGAGCCACTGCACCTGGCTATTTCATCTCCTTCAGGAGAAGATTATTTGTGTTTTCCCCCTCTTTCTGGGTTTAAGAGGACAAATTTGCTGGGTTTTTTCCTCTTAACAGGTTGGTCAGGCCAAAGATGAACTGCTGACCAGTCAGCTGATAGACCACCTCATGGGAGAGAGTGACGGCATGCCCAAGGTACCGCAGATGTTTGCTGCACTCAGACCTTCATATCTTAGTTGTGATTTTAGTTTATTCTTCCCTGCTTTTTCCTATCACACTGTTAGTTACAAAAGACTTATAAAATTTTCTCTCTGAAAGTAGCTGTAGATCATCTGGGGTGGGGAGGAACCTGTAGCCTTGGGGCCACATGCAGCCTTCTGAATGGATCCTTGAGTGTGGGCTTTTGACTGAATCCAAATTTTACACAACAAATCATTTTTGCATTTAAAAGATAACATGTATATTCACTCTTTCAAGTGGGCATTGCCACCCATAGGATAGCCATGCCTTTCCAGATGACAGTTCACCAGCAATTTTTCTCAAGTGTGATGGTTTTGTTTATTCTAAGAATTATGAAAAATCATTGGAACTGTGACTTACCACTAATCCCCTAAAATTCAGAGTATGCTTTGTTTATATCTCTAAAATTATGAAAATTAACAGAAATCATATTAAACATAAAACTAACTCACTTTAAATATAAAGTAGAAATACATTGTTAAGAGCATATTTTCAAAATATGTGACTCTTCTGTGGCTTGCTACAGACGTCAGCCTTCTCTCAGTCCTGATAAGGAGAGACCCACAACTTTTGAGAAGCTGCCCAGAGCTGTTCCTTCCCTTTCGTGCTCGGGTCAGAGATTTGAAGAGAGAGTGATAGAACGATGATAGAACATCAGAGCTGGCAAGGATTGGAGCAGTCCCTGAACCCATTTCCTTTATCTATCAGATAAAGCCACTGGGACCTCCAGAAGCTAATTTAACTTGCCGAAGGACACAGGCCCTTGAGCTGTTCCAAACCACCTCCCATTATATCCACTTACTCTAATAACCTGGAAGCCAGCATCAAATACATGAAATTGTCTAGAGTTGGAATAGAAATGGATAATGATCAAAGGCCAAAGAAAATTTTATAGACCAGAGAAAATTTATATAGATATAAAAATTTTTGAAATTTTGCAAAGTCAGTACATTGTATAGGAATACATTTTATTTCCAAGCACATGAGAGATACTCTATGGAGCAGGATCAAGAACACAGACTCACATCCTGTGGTTCAAATCTTGGCTCTTCCCCTCTCCTGTTGTGTTTTAGTTTCTCATCTATGAAATTGGGATAATAATAGTGCCTGCCTTCTATGGTGGGTATGAGGATTTAAATGAATTACTATTTCTTAAGTACTTAGAATACTACCTGGCCACCATATTAAACTCTGAATAAATATCTGATACATGAACTAATTCTTTATTCATTGGCTTTTTAAAAAAAAAAAGGACAAGGTCTTGCTCTGTTACCTGGGCTGGAGTACAATGGTACAATCACAGCTCACTACAACCTCAAACTCTTGGGCTCAAGTGATCATCCTGCCTCAGCCTTCCTAGTAGCTGGGACTACAGGTACTCGCCACCAAACCTGTCTGATTTTTCTATTTTTTGTAGAGACAGGGTCTCACTATGTTGCCCGGCTGGTCTCAAACTCCAACAAGCTCAAGTGATCCTCCTGCCTCAACCTTCTAAAGTACTGGGATTGCAGGCATGAGCCACTGCACCTGGCCCCTCATTGGCTTTTTTTTTTTTTCCGGCATATTATGGGGGTACAGATTTTAAGGTTTCAATAAATGCCCTTTCCCCCCTTCTCACACAAGTCCGAGTTTCCAGCATGACCATCCCCCAGATGGTGCACATCTCACTCATTATGTATGTATATACCCGCCCCCCTCCCACCTGCCCAATACCCTATTACTGTAAGTACCTATGTGTCTACTTAGGTGCTGCTCAGTTAAAACCAGTTTGGTGAATGTATGGTGGTTTTGTTTTTACCATTCTTGGGATTATTCACTTAGTAGCATGGGTTCCAGCTCTAACCAGGAAATATGAGATGTGCTATATCACCATTGTGTTATGTCTCTATGAATAATACCACATTTTATTAATCCATCCTGGATTGATGGGCACTTGGGCTGTTTCCACAGCCTTGCATATATGATTGTGCTATAAACATTGAGTGCAGGGTCTTTTTTGTAGAGTGTCATTGATCTTTTGGTAGATGTCCAGTAATGGGATTGCTGGATCAAATGGTAGATTCACTTGTTATGTTTAAGTGTCTCCATATTGCTTTCCACAGAAGTTGAACTAGTTTGTCAGTCACGGTGTAGGGTGTTCTTCTCTCTCGCATCCACGCAGCATTATTGTTTGGAGACTTTTTGATAAAGGCCATTCTCACTGGAGTTAAGTGATATCTCATTGTGGTTTTGATTTGCATTTCCCTGATGATTAGAGATGTTGAGCATTTTTTCATATGTTTGTTGGCCATTCTTCTGTCTTCTTTAGAAAGTTCTGTTCAAGTCTTTGCCACTTTTAATAGGGTTATTGGATTTTTTTTCTTGCTGTTTTCGTGAGTTCTATATATTCTAGTTATCAGCCCCTTATCAGATGCGTAGGCTGCAAAAATTTTCTCCCATTCTGTAGGTTGTCTGTTTACTTTCATGACTATTTCTTTGGCTGTGCAGAAGCTTTGTAGTTTGATCATGTCCCATTTATTATTTTTGTTGCTGCTGTGATTGCCTTGGGGACTTCTTCATAAACTCTTTGCCAGGCCGATGTCTAGGAGAGTGTTTCCAACATTTTCCTCTAGAATTCTAATAGTTTTATACCGTTTAAGTCTGTTATCCAGCATAAGTTGATTTTTGTGAGAGGTGAAAGGTGTTAGTCCTGTTTTAGCCTTCTACAGGTGGCTATCCAGTTTTCCCAGCACCATTTATTGAAAAGGGATTCTTTTCCCAGCGTATGTTTTTGTCTGCTTTGTCAAAGATTAGATGGCTATATGAGGATGGTTTTATATCAGGATTCTCAGATCTGTTCCACTGGTCAATATTCCTATTTTTGTGCCAATACCATATTGATTTAATTACTACAACTTTGTAGTATAGTTTGATATCTGGCATATTAATACCTCCCATTTTGTTTTTGTTGCCTAGAATGGCTTTTGATATTTGGGGTCTTCTTTGCTTCCATACGAAGCGTAAAATTATTTTTTCTATATCTGTGAAGAATGCTGATGGGATTTTAATAGGTATTGCATTGAATCTGTAGATCAGTTTGGGTGTATAGACATTTTTGATGATATTGAGTCTGCCGATCCACGAGCATGGTATGGATTTCCATCTGTTTACATCCTCCGCTGCTTCCTTCCTCAGTGTTTCATAGTTCTCCCTGTAGAGTCTTTTACTCCTTGGTTAATATATTCCTAGGTACTTTAATTTCTTTGTTGCTATTGTGAAGGGAATTGAGTCTTTGATTTGGTTCTCAATTTGATTGTTGTTGGCATATATGAATGCCTCTGATTTCTGTGTATTGATTTTGTATCCTGAGACTTTACTAAATTCATTTATCAGTTCTAGATTTCTTGGTTGAATCTTTGGATTTTCTAAATATATTCGTATCATCAGCAAACAGTGAAAGTTTGATCTCTTCTGCCCCTATTTGGATACCTTTAATTCTACTTTCCTGTCTGATTTTAGTAGCAGACTTCCGCATCTGTTGAATAGAAGTGGAGATAGTGGGCAGCCTGTCTGGTTCGAGTGCTAAGTGGAATGATTTCAGTTTTTTCCTCATTCAGATATGATGTTGGCTATGGGTCTGTCATATTGGCTTATATCATTTTTAGATATGTCTCTCTATGCCTTTTTATTAAGTGTTCGTATCATGAAGGTGTTGAAATTTTGTCAAAAGGTTTTCTGCATTTTTGAAAGAATCATGTGGTCTTTGTTTTTGCTTCTGTTTATGTGGTGAATTGCATTTATAGATTACGTATGTTGAACATCCCTGCATCCTGGATGAAGACCAGTTGGTCATGATGGATTATTTTTTTGATAAGCGTCTGGATTCGTCGTTAGGGATTTTGTTGAAAATTTTGCATCTATATTCATTGGAATTGGTCTGTACTTTCTTTTCTTGATGCATCCTTTCCTGGTTTGGTATCAGAGTAATATTCGCTTCATAAAAGGTGTCAGGGAGGTTTCCGTTCTCTCTCAGATAATGCTGGAATAGTTCTCACGATGACAGATCTTCTTAAGTGTGAACGTGTGCAGGAGAACGGAGAGCTATGGATTCGTTGCCGGAACGTTTGCTGCTAGATCAGTTATGGTACTATGTTCTCTTTGTAAATTTGAGTCGTGGTTATTAAATCTTGGGTGTGAATTATTTCCCATGGAGACCAGGACTGTTCTCGTTCTTTAGGAGTTTATGTAAATGCTGATTTCTATTCAGCTCTGAGAAAGATTGGTCTGTTCAGGAAATCGGTGAGTTTCTTCGGCTGGGTTGAGCTAGGAATATGTGAGTGTCTGAAAGAATTTGATCCCTTTCCTCCACGAGTTCTCGCACAGTATTGTGTGATAAAGGTATAATTTGTGTAGTTCATAAATTATGTATCATGCAGTGATTTTCTTTGGGATTAGTTGATGTGATATCTCCTTTTTGTTCTGATTGGAGTTATTAGGTATTTCTTTTTCGTGTTTTCTTAGCTTAGCAATGGCAGTGTCAATTTTGTTTATTTTTTCAAAGACGACCTTTTTTTGTTGTTATTAATCTCGCTGAATAGCTTCCTGTTTCATTCGTTAGTTTCTGATTTGATCTGTTGATTTCACTTCTTACTGGTGGTTTGGGGGTTGGTCTGTTCTTCTTTTCAGTTCTTTGAGTCCGTTTCATTAGATTGTCGTAGTTTGTGATCTGTGGAGCTTTTGGTTATAGGCGTTTATGGAGATAAACTTTCCTCTCAGTACTGTTTTAGCTATGTCCCAGAGGATTTTATAACTTGTCTCTCCATTGTCATTTTGTTCATAGAATTTTTTTATTTCCATCTTGATTTCTTCATTTATGAAGTAATCATTCAGTAGGATGTTGTTTTCAGTCTCATTGGCTTTTTAAAATCAGTATCAGTTCTCAATTACTGTCAGATGAGTGTGGTTCTAACTGAAATGTCTCAGCTAATGAAGAAAGTGATGTTTCTCTAATGGTTTGTATGTCAGGATGCCAAGTACCTGTTCCGCCTGTACATGGCTCTGAAACAGTACCGAGAAGCTGCCCGGACTGCTATCATCATTGCCAGAGAAGAGCAGTCTTCAGGTAGGTCCATGATAGTTTATGTTTTCCACCCCCTATGAGTAGTAGGGTCAAGCCCCAGCCCCATTCCTGCCCAGGAAAGAGAAGCCAGTTTCTAATGTAGGCTTGCTTTGAACCTAAAAGACTAAAGAGATGACCATTCCGAGAAGTAAAATAATTTACCATCACAGGAGGCTAGTGATTGACCAGCACTACTCCCTCTCCTCTGCACAGCCTCAGGGTTTCCGGCTCCTGGACCACTATTCTCTGACCTCTCAGCCTGCAGTCCCCTCCTACAAACTCACAGTGTTTTCTTTTCATTCCATGTTTTTGGGCCTACAAATATAAAGAGAATTAGAAGAGGGAAGATAATCTTAGACAAGCAAGAGGAAAAAAGAAAAAAAATATTAAAAAAAAAGATGAAAGATAATTATGGGGTGTCATTATGGACCCAGTTCTTCATAATATACAGGGATTATTAGAGTACCTTCAGAATGGTTCTGCTCAAGTGGATGCTCTGGAAATACTTATTTTTGAGACAGGGTCTTGCTTTGTTGCCCAGGCTAGAGTGCAGTGGCATCCTCATAGCTCACAGCAACCTCAAACTCCTGGACTCAAGCGATCCTCCTGCCTCAGCCTCTGAATAGCTGGGACTACTGCTTGGCTAATTTTTCTATCTTTAGTGGAGATGCAGTCTCACTCAGGCTGGTTTCAAACTCTTGACCTCAAGCAATCTTCCCACCTCAGCCTTGCAGAGTGCTTGGGATTAGGGGCATGAACCACCGTGCCCAGCCTGTAAATATTTATTGAGTATTGAATTAGAGAACTAGTCTGATTTCTTCACTAAGTTTTGCAAGTCATTTCTCTTAGATGTTCATAAGTATGGAACACAGTTTTAGGAAATATGCAGTTGAATAAGGCATTACTTTATTCAGCTCAGGTTGATCTAACAACAGCCACTGCCTGTCAGAGGTGTGCTAGGAGCTCAGGACACAGAGAAGACTGAGACACAGTTTGGCCCTCAAGGGTCACGATTTGATGGGAGAGTCAGAAAATAAATTCAGAGTTGTTATATACAGGGTGACAGGTACTAGAATAGAAAGAAATATGCTAAAAAGGCCCCAGGGAAGGGGACCCAGGGCATCCTGAGGGCGGGGTGAGGAGATGGCCTATGGAAACGAGAGAAGGCAGCAAAAGCTTCAGCTGAGCTTTAAAAGGAGGAGGGGGTAAGGGGTGGGGGCGTGCTGGGAGGGGAAAACAAAGACTAGGCTGCAAAGCTGGTAGAGGGGGTGGCAGATCTTGAAGGGCACAGTAAGAGGCCTCTGGTCAGGATTTACATTTGCAGGCACCCACAGTGCCTAATGCCTTGCAGGGTTTTATGCTAGGGCGTGCCCTTGAGGTGTTTGGGCTTGGAGCGAGGTCTGAGGTTTGTAAAGGCCTGTTCTGACATCTGAACAAGGGCTCGGAGAGAAGATGCGTGCACTGGGCGACAGAGTGATGAGGAGCGGTCACAGTGGGCAGGAGGAAGAGAGGCTGGATTTGGGAGGCTGGGAAGGTAGATTCAGAACTCCATGACCCAGGGAACTTGGAGCCAGGTGGGTGCCCTGAGGAAGAGTAAGACATCGGGAGGACACCACCATTTTGTACTGGCAGGACTAGCTTTATGTTTATAATGTCAATTAAAATAGGAAACACTGCTGAGTTACTTTATGTAAGAAATGATGGCAGTATTGCCAATAACATAATCAACAAAATCCACTTTCAAAATGAGAACATCCTTGGATTTCATCCTTTGCGATATGTCATTTTTTTTCAAGGAAACTATCGGAATGCACATGATGTTCTCTTCAGCATGTATGCAGAACTTAAATCCCAGAAGATCAAAATTCCCTCTGAGATGGCCACCAACCTGATGATCCTGCACAGCTATGTGCTAGTGAAGGTGAGGCCGCAGGAGTGATCGGGATGTAACCTGCCTGACGTGTTTATCCCGCGCTGGGATGTCTCCGTTAGATAAGAGCGATTTCCTAGATCTCTGTATGGGTCGATGACAAAAGTAAGAAACAGAACAATTCCACACTGCTGCCTTTTGTGTACAAAAAGGCAAAAACGTAAGAATGAATATCTGTTTATTGCAGATAAAACTACTGAAGAGACTAGCAAAAGCAGATTCCGAAAGGGAAGGAAGAGTGGGCAGGGAGACAGCGCCAACCCGATGGTGGGGTGTGGGCAAACTCCACTTTATGTATTTTTCCAAATTTTCATTTATGTCAAAGTGTGTCTGTCCATGTTAATGCTAAATTGGTTCTCTGGCCAGTCTATAAAGCTTATCATATTATGAATGATTTAAATCCCAGTTATTGTGTATATGGGCACCGTCCAATAGAAATTTCTACAGTGATAGAACTGTGCTGTGTCTGTGCTGCCCAACATGGTAGCCACACGCCTGGCTGTGGAGAGCACTTGAAAGGCAGCCAGTGTGATGCATATACTAAGTTTTTAATTTCATATAATTTTAATTTTTAAATTTAAATAGCCACATATGACTAGTGACTACCATATTGGACCGCAGGTCTGTGACACTGATGTGAGGGAAACACATTGGGAACCCTGACTTGCAACCCTGAGGAGTACATTTTCCTTCAAAGAAGCAGGAGGGTCCTTCTTTCATAAAGGGGCTGAAAGGAGGTGGGAGGCCTTTCCCAGCTTCAGGCATGAGTGACAACGTCAGCATCCCAGACTGAAGCACAGAACCCAGCACGTGGAGCCTGCCACAGTGGAGGGAGGGAGAGAAACTAGCTGGCAGAAGATGAGGAGAAAACAAGAGCTTCCCATGAGCAGCCTTCCTGGAACAGGGCTTCCACCGCTGCAGGCCACAGGGCTGCTTCTCGGCCCCGTCCCTTCCTTTGGCCCCAGGAGTTGGCCCCACTGCTTTTCCATCCAGACACCCTCCTCCCCTCCTGCTGAAGGGCATGTACCCTCGTGACTGCTTTCTTACGCAAGAGACTACCAAGATTTTCTAAGATTTTTAACTGCTTGTAGTTTCAAAAGGGAAACTGTCAGACTCTATTAAATCAGAAAAAAAGTTGATGCAAAAATGTCACAGGCATCCTTGACACAAAGGACTGAAGAAAGATTCGTTCACATTTTAGAGAAAGTCAGACTAGGCTCTGGGGGTTGCTGAAAAAGCCGGGACGGGGGATGGGCTGAAGGACAGGCCAGGACCTTTGGGCATGGACAGCTGGGCTGGGCAGTACTGATGAGTAAAATGTGTCATTTATTTCAGATTCATGTTAAAAATGGAGATCACATGAAAGGGGCGCGCATGCTCATTCGGGTGGCCAACAACATTAGCAAATTTCCATCACGTAAGTACTATGTGAGGAGAGCTCATGACCTGCAGTCCACGCCAGCACAGCATTGGGAGATCTGTGCTCACTAACTCCACTAGCCCCTGTTCTAAGCTCTCTGCGTATATTAACCCGTTTAATCCTCACAACAACCCCATGAAGTAATATGTTGGGGGCCCCAAGACTACCCCCAGGTTCGATGATCCTTTACTAGGAGTCACGAGACTCAACACAAGCACGCAAGGCTAAGATTTACCACAGCCAAAGGATACCCAGCAAAGTCAGCAAAAGGAAAAGGCACGTGGGGTGAAGTCCAAAGGAGCCCAGGCACAGGCGTGCACTTCCAAGACCCCTTTCCTGGTGGAGTCACATAGGACACGTTCAGCAGCTCCTCCAGGAATGACTTGACAACATGGGAAGCTTGTTAAAAACTCATCACCTAGGGCTTTTATTAGGGGCTGGTCACGTAGGCACCCTCTGCCTGGCACGTCCCCGGTTCTCTAGACTCCCAGAGAGCCAGTGTGCAGCATAACCACATTGTTTGTGCAAAGATCTTAGGCACAGTAAGCCACTCTCATCAGTTCTGAAAATAGCAGGAACCTTCCCCAAATCCAAGTTCCTAGATGCAAGCCAGGGTCCAACTGTTCAAGCAGGCCTTCCAAGGACAATAGTCTCAAGCCTGCACACATGGGGACTGTTATTTTCCCTATTTTACAGATAAGCCAACTGGGGCAAAAGAAGTGAAGTAACCTTTGCCCAAGATTACGTCAGCTTACAAAAGTCTGGCTCCATATTCTCAACTACAGTAGAATATTATACCAGAAAAAACCCCATTATTCTAAAAAGCAAGTAATTGTAACATTCTCAGATGATTTGTCACATTCTATGACAGCCTCAGCAAACTTTTTCTGTAAAGTGCCAGAGGTGTTAAGTATTTTGTTTGACTCTGCCACTTTGTCATGAATAATACATAAACGAATGAACGTGACTGTGTTCCAATAGAACTTTATTTCTGGACACAGAAATTTGAGCCTCATATAATTTTAACATGTCACAAAGTATTCTTTTGATTTTCTTTCAACCATTTAAAAATGTAAAAACCATTCTTCTTTTTGTTTTTTTTCTTTAATTTTCTTTCTTTTTTTTTTTTTTTGAGACAGAGTCTCGCTCTGTTGCCTGGGGCTAGAGTGCTGTGGCGTCAGCCTAGCTCACAGCAACCTCAAACTCCTGGGCTCAAGCAATTCTCCTGCCTCAGCCTCCCGAGTAGCTGGGAGTACAGGCATGCGCCACCATGCCCGGCTAATTTTTTCTATATATATTTTTAGTTGTCCAGCTAATTTCTTTCTATTTTTAGTAGAGACGGGGGTCTCACTCTTCCTCGGGCTGGTTTCGAACTCCTGACCTTGAGCGATCCTCCCACCTCGGCCTCCCAGAGTGCTAGGATTATAGGCGTAAGCCACCACGCCCAGCCAAAAATGTAAACCCCTTCTTAACTCACAGGCCATACAGAAAGTCAAAGGACCAGATTTGGCCCATCGGTTATAATTTGCTAATCCCTGTTCTCTAAACTTACTCTTTTTTGTTACATGAAAAACACTTTAAAACAATTGTATACCATGCTGGCAAAGGGTGGGATAGGACAAGCACTCTCAGGGTTGCTGGTGGGAATGGAAATTGGTATGGCCTCGCTAGAAAGCAGCTTTTGTTGGTGGGGGCAGGTAAAAGTACTTTTTACAGGTTATGTTCTTTGAACCAGTAATTCTGAGTATCTGTCCTGAAGAATGACTTAGATGCATGAGGAGAGGTTGGTGCATAAAATAATTAATCTCCCTAACCCATTTGTCAGTTCTGTCAGATGCAAAAATGCGTCTCAGGTGTGGGAAGATACTACTACAGTGTTGCCTCCAAGGGTGCAGGCCCTGGTGTTCGAAGGCAAAATGTGGTATAATCAAGGGAAAGACATCAGATGGAGTCAGTTAGCCTGACTCCACTGCCTTGCCATTTCCTCATTCTACAGCATGCATTGGTTCTTTACAGAAAAAGCAGATTTTGGAGAGATGTAACCCTGTGTTCCTGCTGAGCCAGGCGTTCTGTCGTGCCGTACCACTCTCCCCTTTGTCTTGCAGACATTGTACCAATCCTCACATCCACTGTGATCGAGTGTCACAGGGCAGGCCTGAAGAACTCTGCTTTCAGCTTTGCAGCTATGTTGATGAGGCCTGAATACCGCAACAAAATAGATGCCAAATACAAAAAGAAGATTGAGGCAATGGTCAGGTAGGCACAGCGAGTCCTGCCTGCTGTCTAAGCACATTTCTCAAAGGTGTTTTTAAAAGTGTAGCTGCTGGCCGGGCGCGGTGGCTCATGCCTGTAATCCTAGCACTCTGGGAGGCCGAGGCGGGCGGATTGCTCGAGGTCAGGAGTTCAAAACCAGCCTGAGCAAGAGCGAGACCCAGTCTCTACTACAAATAGAAAGAAATTCATTGGCCAACTAATATATATAGAAAAAATCAGCCCGGCATGGTGGCACATGCCTGTAGTCCCAGCTACTCGGGAGGCTGAGGCAGCAGGATTGCTTGAGCCCAGGAGTTTGAGGTTGCTGTGAGCTAGGCTGACGCCATGGCACTCAATCTAGCCTGGGCAACAAAGTGAGACTCTGTCTCAAAAAAAAGTGTAGCTGTTAATGTGCAGGCTCGATAAAAAAATGGACGGGGCAACAGTTAGGATCGGGTTCAGCTACATGCAGCATAAAACCTAACAGTTTCTTGGCCAAGTCAGTGTTTATTCAACTCATACACAAGGTGTCACAGTCCAGGGCTATGTGTCATGATGCCACAAAGTATAGATCCCTTTGTCTTCCAGCTTTGCCATCCATTGCATAGAGTGCTACTCCTCATAGTTGCAAGACATCTGCTGTACCTCCAGACATCACGTCCCCATTCAAGGCAGGAAGAAAGAGGGAAATTAAAGGTTGAAAGAGTCTTTGCCTTTTTATTTAGGAAGGCACAATCCCCAGGACTTCATTTTCACCTCTGTGGCCAGTACTGCCACACGGTACTTCTAGCTGCAAAGTGGAAGCAAAGTTCTGTTGGCAAGGAAGGAGGAGAGAAATGGCTGTTATGTAGGTAGCAAACAGTGTCTGCCACAAAGGGATGAATAAAACAGTGAATATTCTCAGTGTAAGAACCTTCATATTAGCACAGCCCAGTGGCAGCAGAGTTCATTTCCAAATCTTGTGCAGCTCCAAAGGCACATAAGAAGCTTGCCCTCACCTCAGAAAGCAGTAAATGGCCTGCTTTTCTAAAGGAAAACTACAAAAAATTAGTACTAGCATTTACAAAAGGAAAAATTAATTGCAATCATGTAGTAATTTTAAACTATCACTTATTCAGAGTAGTGATGACATTTGGGTTTATAACCAGGAGACCCAGCTCTACCTGAATCTTGGTCTAGACCTTAGCCAAGAGAGATGATTGAATTGGCAGTGGGAGATGAAAGCAAGTTAACACATTGCTAGCTGGGCTCTGGGCTAGCTCTCATGGCAGAGAACTCTAAGCTGGAGAGGGCTATGTGGAACACTCCTTTCCTTATTTTTTTGTTTTAAGAGGGCTGACTCTGTGGCCCAGGCTAAAGTACAGTGGCATGATCACAGCTCACTGCAACCTGAACTCCTGGGCTCAAGCAATCCCCCTGGCTCAGCCTTCTGAATAGCTAGGACTACAGGCACAAGCCACCATGCCCAGCTAATTTTATTTTATTTTTGTAGAGACGGGATCTCACTATGTGAACAGGGACTGGCCTTAAACTGCTGGCCTCAAGCAATCCTCCCACCTCAGCCTCTGAAAGTGCTAGGATTACAGGCGTGAGCCACCACACCCAACCAGAACATCCCATTTTTTAAACCTAAGTAGCTTCAGACTAAGTCAGTCTGACCCAACATATTTGCTATCATGGAGAATGAGGTAGGCAGAAAGTAACTACAAAATGCAAGATAATATTTACAGCTTAGTACCACGCTGGCCTCGGCTCTGGCTTGAAAGAGCTGCCAGTCATTCTCTCCCCCTGCATGAGTAATTTATAGCTATGTGGTCCAATATGGTACCTGTTAGCAACATGTGGCTATTTCAGTTAATTAAAATGGAATAAAATGCAAAACTTAGTTCCTCACATGACCCATATTTCAAGGGCTCACATGTAGCTCCTGGCTACCACAGCACAGTAGAAATTAGAACATTTCTGCTGTCACAGAAGGTTCTGCTGGACAGCACTTTGCTGTGCTGTGGTTAGCCTTTTCCACTTCACCTACACAAAAGGGAGAGACTGAGGAAAAACAGCAAGCTCAGCACTCCAATGGCGCAGGAAGAGAGAAGACAGAATTCTCACTTCTTCTGCCATTTAGTTGCTGAGAACTCCAAGTCCCAAACGTGGCCCGTGTAATCCCCTAGACGCTGACCAATCCTCAGTCTTCCTCTTTCCTGGAGCTGGATCAAGGGCTGACAGGGAGCTTGTAAGCATCTTCAGTCCCAGGGTCTGAGCATGAAGAAGTAGGTGTGCTATGTGTTCCTAGTTTTCCAAATAAGCTTTCTCTTTGCCCTCCATGGTACATGAAGTAAAGTGTTTTTTAAATAACGTGATTCTTCCTCACAGGAGACCCGATACATCTGAGACAGAAGAGGCCACGACTCCGTGTCCATTCTGTGAATTTCTTCTCCCAGAGTGTGAACTCCTCTGTCCTGGATGTAAAAACAACATCCCTTACTGCATTGCAACAGTAAGTTTCTTTATAACAGTTTCCCTTTCTTTGCATACATATTTGTGACCCTTTTTAATACTTTTGATGTATGTCAGTATTGTCTTCACTTTTGAAATAATCTTACCCTTCAAATTTCCTGTAACATTTAGCATGTCATTTCATTTCATGGTCAACAAAATTGAAAGTTATATTCAAAGCATATAATAATCTAAGTGAAAGCACTGTCAAATGTAGCACAGACTTGGGCTCAGACAGTCTTAAGCTCAAATTCTTTTTCTGGCACCCATTGGCTACATAACCAGGTGCAATTTGCCCTACCTTGCTACGTTCATCTGTAGTAATACCTTACTACTGAGATCACCTACAGATTGGTGACCTAACACATATGAAGCCTTAGTATAATACCTGGCATGCTGTCATACTTAATAAGTGGTAGTTTTTATTATAATATCAAGACCAATTACCAGAAAACTTTAAAATGTCAGATTGTTACTGGGCTAATATAAGCTTTATTTTAAAGGAAAATAAATTGAGGTAATGATGTTACAAAATTGAAGATTATTCTTCCTTTAAATATGAATCTGATAAGTAAAATCTAGCTTTAGTCCTTTTAATGCCATCATCTTTCTAGTCAATTACTCATGTCAAATATCATTAATTTTACAATTTAGAGGCCTGACTTTTAACTGTAATTCAGTTGTTATAATTGAATAATGGAGTTTTTGAAATGAAGATGAATTTCACTCCTAAATGTACTATTTCTAGGGTCGACATATGTTGAAAGATGATTGGACAGTGTGTCCACATTGTGACTTCCCTGCTCTCTACTCAGAATTGAAGATGTGAGTGTGTTTCAGTCCCCTTAGTCACACAGGTTTATCTAAAAATGGGCCCTTCCATTCTACCACCCTTTTATTCTGAAGTATACTTATATTTGTTCATGTTCCCAAAGATCTGCAAAGACCCAAATCATTGTCTTGAAAGAACTTTCTATGACCTTTGAGACCATTATCCTTAAAAAGGATCTTGCATGAGACTAAATATTTCTAATTCTTAAATTGCATGATGAACACGAGAGAGGTGTGAACATGTTGAAAGGTGTGAATAGAAAGTAACTTGTTTTTCACATTAACCCAAAGGTAAAAGAAATAGGATATATTTAATTTACTCTACATTCTCTAACCCACCCCCCCCCAACAGCATGTTAAACACTGAAAGCACATGTCCTATGTGTTCAGAAAGATTAAACTTCACTCAAGTGGAAAAGCTGTTGGACTGTTCCCAGTACCTGCGAACAGAGGTGGAGCAGTGAGCAGCATGTTCAGGTAGGTGCCGGACCAGCCTCTCACCTTCCATTCTGTGTATTCCACCACAGAATGAATACAGCCCTTTATATCAGCATTGACTCCTTTTTGTGCATCACGTAACTTGCCAGACTTGAATAATCTGACAACAAACCTTTGGTGTATTTTTTTTTTTATTTCGGCATATTATGGGGGTACAGATTTTAAGGTTTCAATAAATGCCCATTTCCCCCCAAAAGTCTGAGTCTCCATCATGACCATCCCCCAGATGGTGCACATCTCACTCATTATGTATCTATATACCCGCCCCCCGCCCACCTGCCCAATACCCTATTACTGTAGTACCTATGTGTCCACTTAGGTGCTACTCAGTTAATACCAGTTTAAAGAGAGGATAAATATCCCTAATGAATATAGATGCAAAAATTTTCAACAAAATCTTAGCTAACCGAATCCAGACCACTTATCAAAAAATAATCCACCACGACCAAGTGGGCTTCACCCAGGGATGCAGGGATGGTTCAACATACGTAAATCTATAAATGCAATTCACCACATAAACAGAAGCAAAAACAAAGACCACATGATTCTTTCAATAGATGCAGAAAAAGCTTTTGACAAAATTCAACACTCTTTCATGATACGAACACTTAATAGGCATAGAAGGGCCATACCTAAAAATGATACAAGCCATATATGACAGACCCATAGCCAACATCATACTGAATGGGGAAAAATTGAAATCATTCCCACTTAGCACTTGAACCAGACAAGGCTGCCCACTATCTCCACTTCTGTTCAACATAGTGCTGGAAGTCTTAGCTACAGCAATCAGACAGGAAAATGAAATCAAAGGTATCCAAATAGGGGCAGAAGAGATCAAACTTTCACTGTTTGCTGATGATATGATATTGTATCTAGAAAACCCCAAAGATTCAACCAAGAAAATCCTGGAACTGATCAATGAATTTAGTAAAGTCTCAGGATACAAAACCAATACACAGAAATCAGAGGCATTCATATATGCCAACAACAATCTAATTGGGAACCAAATCAAAGACTCAATTCCCTTCACAATAGCAACAAAGAAATTAAAGTACCTAGGAATATACTTAACCAGGAGGTAAAAGACCTCTACAGGAGAACTATGAAACACTGAGGAAGGAAATAGCAGAGGATGTAAACAGATGGAAATCCATACCATGCTCGTGGATCAGCAGACTCAACATCATCGAAATGTGTATACTACCCAAACTGATCTACAGATTCTACAATACCTATTAAAATGCCATCAGCATTCTTCACAGATATAGAAAAAATAATTTTATGCTTCATATCGAATCAAAGAAGACCCCGAATATCAAGAGCAATTCTAGGCAACAAAAACAAAATGGGAGGTATTAATATGCCAGATATCAAACTATACTATAAAGTTGTAGTAATTAAATCAATATGGTATTGGGACAAAAATAGGAATATTGACCAGTGGAACAGATCTGAGAATCCTGATATAAAACCATCCTCATATAGCCATCTAATCTTGACAAAGCAGACAAAAACATATGCTTGGGAAAAGAATCCCTTTTCAATAAATGGTGCTGGGAAAACTGGATAGCCACCTGTAGAAGGCTAAAATAGGACCCACACCTTTCACCTCTCACAAAAACCAACTCACGCTGGATAACAAACTTAAACCTAAGGTATGAAACTATTAGAACTCTAGAGGAAAAAGTTGGAAACACTTCCCTAGACATCGGCCTGGGCAAAGAGTTTATGAAGAAGTCCCACAAAGGCAATCACAGCAGCAAACAAAAATAAATAATGGGACATGATCAAACTACAAAGCTTCTGCACAGCCAAAGAAATAGTCATGAAAGTAAACAGACAACCTACAGAATGGGAGAAAATTTTTGCATCCTACGCATCCAATAAGGGACTAATAACTAGAATACACTTAGAACTCATGAAAATCAGGAAGAAAAAAATCAAATGACCCTATTAAAAAGTGGGCAAGGACTTGAACAGAAACTTTTCTAAAGAAGACAGAAGAATGGCCAACAAACATATGAAAAAATGCTCAACATCTCTAATCATCAGGGAAATGCAAATCTAAACCACAATGAGATATCACTTAACCCCAGTGAGAATGGCCTTTATCAAAAAATCTCCAAACAATAAATGCTGTGTGGTTGCGGTGAAGAGGAACACTCCTACACTGCTAGTGGACTGCAAACTAGTTCAACCCCTGTGGAAAGCAATATGGAGATACCTTAAAGCGATACAAGTGAATCTACCATTTGATCCAGCAATCCCGTTGCTGGGCATCTACCCAAAAGATCCAATGACACTCTACAAAAAAGACACCTGCACTCGAATGTTTATAGCACCACAATTCATAATTGCAAGGCTGTGGAAACAGCCCAAGTGCCCATCAATCCAAGAATGGATTAATAAATGTGTGTATCCATGGAGTATATTCCAGCTCTAAGAAACAAATGGTGACATAGCACATCTCATATTTTCCTGGTTAGAGCTGGAACCCATACTACTAAGTGAAGTATCCCAAGAATGGAAAAACAAGCACCAGATATATTCTCCAGCAAACTGGTATTAACTGAGTAGCACCTAAGTGGACACATAGGTAC